ACATCAGCTGCATGGTTTGAAGTCACAAAGCTATTGAGCAGACCCTGGAGCCCAGTTCCAAACATATTGCTAAACATACTCTCTTTCCTTTACGCTTAAATCATTGGTCTGATTTCTCTTACTGCCAACATTTTCCTCCTCAGAAACATCCTCATCTTCCATTTGAAGCTTCCACAGAAAAGCTTTGAGCATGCATGTTTCTGCTGGGAACTGGCACAAGTTAAGGCTTAGAAGCTGTCCAGATTGTGAATACTCAGTGGCTGGGAATCAACTCCCCTAACGCCCAAAATGGGAAAGCACTATGCATTTCCCTTTCCTCTCAGACTCAAGATCAAACAAAGTTAGGGAACATTGCAATTGGCCACCTGCTGGGTTTAATAAAATCTGCTACACTGTGAAATACTTGTGGCCAGGGACTGGGCTTCAATCATATCTATAAGCACAGACCCCAGAGCATTAATATACATTTAGTAAATACTTGCTAAAAGGTACTGGGCTGGGTACTGTTTGAGTTCTAGTCTTAGCTTTATCATTAACCTACTCTGTGGCATTGGGCAAGACACTTTACTGTTCTACTGTTTAGTTTCAGGATAAAAGGAGAGTTTTGGGTCAGATCATCCTTGTAAATTCCATGTCTACCACTAATGCCGAATGGAGGTGGGATTCAGAGCCTCAGCTCTAGAGACAGATTGGCATCTATTCTAGCTAAGTCACCACACTTTATTCTCTAAACTTTGCAGAATAGGCAGAATGGACATCAAATTCAGCAAAAGATGAACCAATACATTATAAGGCATAAAATGAAGAGCTAAGAGTTATAGTGAATCTTCTTGACAGTTTGACTCTCGCTCACGAGCCTTACAGGGTAAAGTGAGACAAATGACAGATTTGGGAAATGAGGAAATCGAGGCATGATTAATTAACTTGCCCAGAGTCATAGAGCTAGCACATAGTAGAGCCAAGATACAACTGCAGGCAATTTGACTCCAGTGCCCACACACTTTGCTGCAATTAATATGGCATGGCCCGGTTTATTCCTATTTTCTTTGGTTCAGAAGTTGCTGGTAATTTCTTCTACTATTTGTTTTGGCCAAAGTAGTGTGTGTGTGTGTGTGTGTGTGTGTGTGTGTGTGTGTGTGTGTGCATGTATAATGTATGTATGCTGGGTATGCATGTGTGTGTGGGATAGTTATGTTGGGTAGAATACTTAATTTTTGTATAAGCAGCAAAAGAAAAGAGTCCTTATAGCTCTTTTAAAGTATTAATAATTGAAACAAACCTGTTATCAAGTTTTTGATAAGCTTTAGTTTTTATGATAATGCACACAGTGGAATTACCCAAATATATGGTACAGAATGTGTATGTCACTGGAGGTCAGTTTGGGAATGCTTCCTGGTAGGCAGGAAAGATTCATGGAAGAAGAGTTGAACTCAGTTGATGGGCTTGGGAGAGAGGACTTTGTTTAAGAATATTTCAGTGGTGGGGGCGGGGGAGAGGGGAAGGGCGTTGATGGGCACGGAGGAGGGCACTTGTTGGGATGAGCACCGGGTGTTATATGGAAACCAACTTGACAATAAACTATTTAATAAAAAAATAAAAACCATGATGAATTATCAAAAAAAAAAAGAGAATATTTCAGTGGTGTATGATCACTGAAGAAAGGTATGGACCATCTCCCCAGAAGAAAAGCACGCATATATATCCACAATTTTATTTAATTTCATGGGGCTCGCAAAATTCTTTTGGGAGGGATCCTCAACTAAAGGCTTAGGAGGGGATATGCAAATATGTGTTCCACGGTAAATGAAGACATTCTTGAATAAGATATTAAATGGCCACAGGGCTGCAGAAGTGGGGTACATTTTCGGGGGGGGGGATTTTTTTTATTCCTGAGATTCTGAAATTTTTGATGAATACCTTGCTGAAATCCTAGCCAGGTGATATATCAGAAAACACTATAGATTTCTCACTCCATGCTGGGCGTCATCTGAGACAAGGCAGGGGTTCAATAGAGGATAAGACATCACATTTTCCAGATGAGGAGATGACAGACATGCAATAGGGAAATAAATAAATCAAAGTCAAGGACAAAATGAGTGGCAGAAGCAATGAATGACAAAGACATTTCCCTCTTTGCTACCATCTGCACCACCTACAACTTGTTTGTGATCCTGCAAGTCTGACCCTGGCACTTCTTTCTTAAACTCTCCAGTGGCTTCCTGCTTAGGCTTATAGGATAGATGCTAAGCTCTGTCCATGACTGGGACCTGCTGACATCTCTAACAGCTTCTCTGGTTGTCTTCTGCTTCTGCCCTTACTGGTTGCCCTCAGGTGTGATGATGTCCTAGCCCTCTGCTTTTGCTCATGGCATTTGCTATGCCCAGTTGCCCCCACGGACTGTCTTTAGCTGTTATTCATCTTTCAAGTCCGAGCTAGGTGTCATATCCTCCAGAAAACCCTTCTGAGTCCACACTCTGGGTTCACTGTCTCTCCCTTCCATTCCAACAATGCCTGTAGGCTTTCTCAGTATGATGATCTGTCTGTACATCCACTTTTCCTTGCAGCCTAGGACTTTTTGAGGGTGGGGCCCACATTGCCTTTCTACAGGCACTCATCAAATGCCTGTTGGTGAGAACTAGTATCAGAAGAGCCCTTTGAAAGTGATGGGATGGGGGGCACGGTTTTACCACTCCTGCAGCACAGGAGTGCTGCCTCCCCCTTCGCTACAGTCAACCCTTCCACAAGTTGCCAAAGCTGCAAAACATGAGTCATTTCGATTCCTCGTTTTCCCTTACAGCCCATGCCATACCCATCAGCAGACCCCAGAAGCCTCAGTTTGAAATGTGCCCTCCATCTGACACATTTATTACCTCCAAGTCTCCTTCTGCAGTCTAAGTTGTCATTTCTTATCGCCCAATTAGTCTCTTCTTCTACACTTGCCAACCTTCCCATCCACAGCAAAAGCTTATTCTGCACACAACCAACAAAGTGATCCTTATAGTAAAACAAACAGCCCCTCCCTAAACAGACTACAGCTGTCCTCTGCTCATTCCCCTCCTCCACAGTTTCTGTTACTTTCAGAACACAATTCACACTTTCCATGTCCTGCCTTCCAGGTTCTATAGACCACAGAAACACCTTGGCCATGACAACACCCCTGGCTACCTTTCTACCTCTTGTCTAGTGTCTTCATTGCAGCCCCAAAGGCTCATGCTAGTCTTCCAGTTTCTCCAAACCATCCTAATCTCAAGGCCACTACAGTCGTTGATCTTCATGCCTGGGGTACTGTTCCTCCACACCTCATCAGGCAAGACTTCTCATCATCTGGCGCCTTTTTTGACAATGTATCTAAAGCAGCGTGCCACTTTTCCATTTCAGGACATTTCCCAACATTCTGCCTGCATTTGATTTCCTTTACACGAGTTAATGGCCATCAGCAATTATCTTGTTTTTGATTGATAATGCTTGCATGGTCTGTCTACCCTGGGTACCATCCTGGAGGGCAGAGACAGGGACTTCTTCGCTGCAATGGCATAATACATCACATTTAGCAAATGGTGAGATCAATAGAATCACAACTATGATAATCTAATAATGCTTGAAATTCTGTTTCCTGTCATATTTTTTTTTATGTAGTCAATACGTGATAAGAGAGAGTGCCATGAAGATGATCAGCAAACTGAGAGCTTGTGATTCTTTTACTTACTGAAGCAGGATTCAAATACATCATTTTTAAATCTTGAAATAACATTTGTCAGCCTACATTAACTTGAGTCCCCCAGATTACTCATTTGGGGAAAAGTTACCTTCATGAGACATATTCTTTCTCCAAACTTCTGGATCACTGGAAATGCCTACAAGGTCGAAAAAAGGCAAAGTCAACAGGTCAATACTTATTGAGTAGTGAATCTGCAGATTCACATAGCAATGCAAAAAGTTCCACTGTCTGTATTCTCAGAGGGTGTGTACTAACACTATAAAACTCACATGCAGTAGAGAGAAATTCACAGAGGTGTGAGTGGGGAGAGAGATTTACAGTCTGGGTAGAATGGAGATTCAGGATACATGGAGGCAGGATCTAAATTCAGTGGATAAGGCAAGCAGGGTGTATAATAAAAAGTATACTTCAGATTTCTAAAAGGGACTGTAAGTCATGGAAAGCATATTTTGTTTATAAAATTCCATTACAGTAATATTTATGATTAAATGTCTTTATGTGTGTGTGTTTAATAAATAGGAGATAAGTGATAGAAAAATGTGTGTCCTTAAGTGCTAGAATCACAGACTGGTATGCAATGAGATGCTTATATTATGGGCAAGTACCCATTAAGACAAACTGAGGCAGCAGCAGTTCACATTTCCCATCTTATATTCTTTCTAGAGCAGGTACACCCTTGGTGGAATCATGGGCTGGACCTACCATGTTACTCAAATGCTTCTTACTCTCTCTTTTCCCTACTGAACTCATATAGTTGAATCTTGTTATTTGATGCACACATTAAATACACGGTGTAAAGGTGCCTGTATGGTTCCATCAGTTAAGCATCTGACTCTTGCTTTGGGGTCAGATCATGATCTCACGGTTCGTGGATTAAATCACCATATTGGGCTCTGTGCTGTCAGTGCGAAACCTGCTTGGGATTCTCTTTCTATCTCTCTCTCTGCCCCTCCCCTGCTTGTGCTCTCTCTCTCTCTCTCTCTCTCTCTCTCTCAAAAATACATGGTGTAGACCATGAACTAGAAGTCTTGGGTTGTGAATGGGACAGCTTTGAATTTGAGCCTGTACTTTCACACCCCCTCCTTGAGGTAGCCACTGACCAGCTCTGACCCCAACCCTTTCCTTTATCCTCCCAGACAAGTCCTCTCTGGGCCTCTTACAACTGGAAAGCCATATACTGAGTTTTGGCAAATGGAATGTGAGTGGTAGAGATGCCTGCCACTTCCAGGCCTGGCACACAAGCTTCTGTGTTTGACCCTTGTACTCTTTCCTTCTTCCAGTTTGATGCTGATGATCAGGGGAGCCTTGTAAATCACCTGTTGCATATAGTCAAGGCAAGGGGTTGAAGGAGCCAGATTCTTGAATCACCATTTGGAGAAGAGCCACCTGCTGCTCAGGAACCCCCATGCTGGACTTGGGTGAGTGAGAAATTTACATATCTTGATTAAAATCACTGAGATTTAGGAGTTTATGTCTTATAGCAACTAGCATTGCTTCAACTAACACCCCATTTGTGTGACTTTGTGCCAGCTTCTTAATCCTTCTGTGTTGGATTCTGTATTTGTCAGGGTCTCTCCCAAAGTAACCAATCTGCACACTTAAAAGCCTCAATTGAGGAAGTTCAAAGACAAGACTATTTACAAAGATGCAGACAGAGCTAAGGGACACTCTCAAGGGTTGGTGAGGCATCTCAGAGCTAGTGACAGCAGAAAGCCATTTATACTCTGAGCCTGGGATTGAGAGCAAGGAGAGAAAGCATTTACCAGAGTCTGGCAAGTAGATATAGCTGTAGAAAAGAGCTGCCTGGAGAGAGCTATAACTTCCAGTGGAATATTGCTGCCAATCCAAGTTCCAGCAGGAAAGAAGTTGGAGCAATAAAGAGCCAGATGTCATCCTCCTACCTTCCAATCCTCCTGCTGATGACTTCCATTGACTAAACTCAACTGGAAGCTAGAAGGTAAGGAGCTCATTGATGTAGTCCATAAACGTTAGTCTCCCAGGGTGTGGGCCAGGTGTAGAAGGGTGGAGAAAAGATCTGGAGGTCCAAATGAAGAATTTCAAGCACAATTTCCCAATCCATAAATTGGGAATCCTAACTACTTACCTTATAGAGTCTGTACTGGAGTTAAAGCATTATATATAATAAGTTGTGAATAAAATACAGCTCATTTCTCTGTGATGTCTGCTGCTGAAACATTGTTCACAGATTTTTTTTCTTAATGTTTTTTCACTGATTTTTTTTGTCATTGTTGTTTGTGGTTTTTTCTTTTTTAAAATTTTCTTCTAATTCCAGTGTGGTTAACATACAGTGTTATATTAGTTTCATGTGGATAATATAGTGATTCAACAATTCCATATAGCACCCAATCCTGATCACTACAAGTGCATTCCTTAATTCCTATCACTTATTTCCCCATCTTCCCACCCATCCATCCTCTGGGAACTGTCAGTTTGTTCTCTGTAGTTAAGAGTATGTTTCTTGGGTTGTCTCCTCCCACCCACCCTGCTCATTTGTCTTGTTTTTTAAATTGTACATATGAGTGAAATCACATGGTACTTGTGTTTCTTTGACTTATTTTATTTAGCATTATACTAGCTGCTCCATCCATTCATGGAAAATGGCAAGATTTCATTCTTTTTTATGGCTAAGTAATATTCCATTATATATGTTACAACGTCTTTATCCTTTGTCTACTGATGAACACTTGGGCTGCTTCCATAATTTGGCTATTGTAAATAATGCTGCTGTAAATATAGGGATGTATGTATCCCTTTGAATTGTTTGGTTTTTAAAAAAATCTCTCAGAAATGTGACATTTTCTCTACTGGCCAGAGATTTTTTTTAGCATGAATTTAACTCTGATATTTCCTGGAGGTTGGTGTCTTCGCTTCTTCCTGATCTTTTTTTTTTTTTTTTTTTTGGATCATAGGTGGGATTTGAGAAAATATCCAGTTTCAAGGTCTTTGGAAGATTCTTCCTTCCCAGTTTCAGCTACTCATTGTTATTTTTAGTGTTTCATTGCCAGGGACTTTCTAGCTCCCCACTCCAGATGACAGCCATGTCTAAAGCCCTCTGCTTGTTCCCTGCCTGTGTTTCATCACTTCCTGTTTCATGTCGGCTTCTAGGTTTGTTGGCTAGAGTGGTCTGCTCATGAATGAAAGAGGAGTAGGCCTTTCCAAATAAATGATAGGAGATTAGCATGTTCATGAGGCAGGTGTGATGTGATCAGGGAATCTAAGAGTCTCAGGTCCCTTCTTTCACTGCCTCTCACTTGCACTATGATCTTGAGAAATGTCTTCCCTTTTTCTGAGACTTATATTTTCCTCCTTGGCAAAATAAGATTCATTGTACCTGACTCACTGGTTAGGTGTAGGGAGATAGTGAAATATGCATGCATAGAAGCCCAGACACTGTGCGGCACATACCAGGTATTTGGCAATTTTTGTAGAAAAAATCAAATCTCTAATGTCCAATGGGGATCCTCACTTTCTGGTTATACTGGAGCTAAAAATGGAGCTGACAAGGCGCTCTCGGCCCCAAAATATTCAGAGTTCTTCCAGGCTGAACATGTCTTGTTTCTTATAATTGGCACCCTTTTGATTTTAAGCATTACTTATCTTTTCAAATCGAGTCCACAGATATTAAGCCTATTCCCTGGTATTCCTCAATGATAAATGAGAGGTGAAAAAATCATAATAAAATATATTTTTGGCTGAATATTTTTACGTTTACATTTTTTATTTTTCCATATGTGATATATGGCACCAGCCTTTTTTTTTTTTTTTTCTTTTTTTCTTTTAGTATTTCTGGAATAACTTGTCATTTGGTCAGTCTGTGATCCAGAATCACTTGGATTAGAGCAGAACAGAGCTGAGTCCAAACTCCAGCCCTGCCTCCTCCTTCAGGGAGGTTACTTAACAAACCTTTTGGACCTAAAAAGTGAGCATCATAAAGCCGCTTATCTCTCTCTGGTTTGTTTAAAGATTAGAAAAACAATGTAAAAAAGTCCAAAGCAGTGAGTAAGAAAGAATGCTTAAGGGTGGTAGCAATCATTGTTGAAAAGGAGCAATTATATTATTTTAAATCCAGGAAAAAGGCTTGCCTTTACTTTATGTCTGAGGAAACTGAATCTCTGGAAGGGAGGACATGACTCATTTGGACCACCTCATTAGTGCGTTGAACCCAGGTCTCCTACATCCACTGTGATCTCCGGACAGCACCATTTCATGTCAAAGTATCACCAGTGGGCAAACAGCAGAAGCCAAGCCATCAGGAGATGTATGATGGTCTTCTGACTTACAGACGATCTGCGGAGCCCTGGAAAACCAAACAAACCCCCTGACTGCCACCAACGCTTGGACTCACTAATCCCCACTGCGTTTCAGAAGAGCCTGAGGATTTTGTTGGGGGTTGAGTCATCAATTAGAAAATGAATGTCAGTTTTTGTTGATGCAGTTTCAGAGCAAATTTGGAAAGCAGTATTTTTCCGCCTCCCTTCCATGTTCTTCTAGGAAGGTCTAGAGTGATTATGCGCACCTCCTTGGATCAAGGACTGTATATTGGCCTATTATTAGGGGGAGGCTCTAAGTTGCTAATATTCTTTATTAATAATGATACTAATGTCAAATCTCATTAGTGAATTGGAAGATAAATATTACGTTCTTTTGAAAATAAAGTACTGGGATCACAGAGAATGGTTAATTCTCCAATTTTTATGGAACATGCCAGGAAATGGAGGGAGACTGTGACCATGCTTTTAGTGTTCAAGAGGTATTGTCTCTTGATAAATGAGATGTCTTGAAGAAAACCTCCTACCACCAGCACCAAGTGGGACTCTAGGAGAAGGTCAGAAGGAGGAAAAAAACCAATATTTATTGATTACCTCCTAAGTGATATACAATTTACCACACTTTAAAAATATAACTACTTGGGGCACCTGGGCAACCCAGTCGGTTGAGTGTCCAACCTTGACTCAGGTCATGATTTCACTCCTTGTGAGTTAGAGCCCCATGTCCGGCTCTGTGCTCACAGCTCACAGCTCAGAGCCTGGAGCCTGCTTTGGATTCTGTTTCCATCTCTCTGCCCTTCCCCTGCTGGTACACTGTTTCTCTATCTCTCAAATATAAATAAACATTAAACAATTTTTAAAAAGTAAAAATATAACTACTTGATTATCTTTACTCTCCTCTGAAAGCTTTGTGAGGGTATGGCTGTACGTGTCTTATCCTCACCAGTAATTAACACAATGCCGAAAACATCTTTAAGTGTTTGTTGAATGAATAAATGTGCTAGAAGCTCTCTTTAAAAAGATCTTTTACAATTCTTATGATCACCTTTTGAGTTGGGAATTATTATCCTCACTTTGTAGATGTGAACATCAAGATTTAGAGGAGTTAAGTAAAATGTCCTTTGAGCCAGTGGAACTTCAGCTTAGGTGCCATGATTTCTGAATCCATTCTGTTTCCACCATGATACACCACCAGATTATTCCTGGGAGACATCTCTCTGTTTGTTTTATGCTATAGAATGATGAGTGTTTCTCTCCAATTATGATTTCCTGCAGATTGAGAGGAAATGGTACTACCATTGACAATCACAAGACAGAGTAGTTTAAGACAAAATGAACTTCCTAGTTTATTCTTCATTTTTTAAAATATTTATTATTTTTCAGAGACAGAGAGAGACAGAGTGTGAGTGGGGGAGGGGTAGAGAGAGAGACACACACACAGAATCTGAAGCAGGCTCCAGGCTCTGAGCTGTCAGCACAGAGCCTGATGTGGGGCTCGAACCCACAGACTGCGAGATCGTGACCTGAGCTGAAGATGGACACTTAACCAACCTAGCCACCCAGGTGCCCCAATTCTTCATTCTTGATAGCTCACTCACATGGCTATTGGGAAAGGCAGCCGTTCTTTTCCAACTGCTAATAGGAAGTCTTAATTTCTCACTATGTGGACATCTTCATAAGGCTTCTTTAATGTCCTCACATTATGCCAGCTACCACCCCCCAGTGTGATCTAAGAAAGGATGACAGGGATGAAGCCACAGTATTCTTGATGACCTAGTCTCAGAAGTCACATACTTTCCTTTTTGCCTTTCCTACCCATTAGAAGTAAGTCACTGATACAGCCCATACTCAAGGGGAGGGGAAATTAGGTTTCACCATTTGAAGGGAAGAGTATTATAGAATTGGTGGACATATTTTAAAACCACCATAATCAGTTAGCTAGGCCATGTTTTATAACTTGCCACTCAAATATTGTATTTCTATTCCTCATACATATTGTCCAAACAAAAAAGGGGCTTTGGTATCAGACAGACCAATATTTGAAACCTGGGTATATGTTCATCTCTAAGCCTTGTTTCTCAACCATAAGATGAAGATTGTATAAAACCAACTTCACAGATTTGCTGGCA